TTACACATTTTTTATTAATTCTCAAAACATGTGTTTACAAATGCAGACACCAGATTGGAAATTAAGAAGCCTATTACCATTTTAAAATAAATTACCTAAAAAGGCCCAGCACTAAAGAAAACCACCTTTTCTGAAACTAATAAGTTGAGAAAATTTATTTACTAAAGTTGAAATTGTTTACAGAAATCTAAATACTCACAGGCTTTAAGTGGATGACAGAACTATTAGACATCACTGTGTGGTCCCCTTCCATCATGTCTAGCTCACTCTTGTCATCTGAGGCATCTGGAAGACTGTTAACACTACTGCTTTGGCTACTGGCACTGATGGACATACTGGGAATAGACTGATTACTTCCAACACTATTCACTGTTCCTGTCCGACCAACACCATGATCTTGTTCCTAAGGAAAAAAGAGCATTAGGATCAAATATTTATATCTTTTTCTTTGTTCTTGACTGTAAGCACTTACCAAACTGCTTGGCATGCCATCTTTATAAAGTTAGTTACAGGTCTTGTATAAAAAATTGTACTAGCCAACCCTGTGATGTTTTCCCAATATTAGTTGACAGAAAAACAAACAAAAATAGGCAGTAAAAACAAAATTTACCCAATTGTGTAAACAAGTCAATCAGCTTTGGGTTGTTTATGAATTATAGCATTTTGGGGGCTATATTTTTAAAACCATTTCTATCATACACCTCACAGGGCACAACTGCAGAGATTCTGCTTATTTCTCATTTTCATGGTTAATACAAGATGTTTTTTTAAATGCTATAAATACCTTCTAATTGTTATTCTTTATAGAAGCCTTAACTAGATTATTCTTCTTCCAAGTATAGTTCCTAAACTATGTTTTCTTTCATCATATAATTTAACATTAATTTTTTTACCTATTACTGTGTAAACTAAAAATTACATATAGATTCAAATGTATGAATGCTTTCCTTAAGTAGTAGGAAGCCATGGTAGGGGTTACACATTGGGCTGCTAACTGCAATATCAGCAGTTGAAAACCACTTCTCAGGAGGAAAACAGAACTTTCTACTCCTGTAAAGAGTTGTAGTCTCAGAAAGTCATGAGGGCAGTTCTATACTGTCTTAGAGGGTCACTGTGAGTAGGCCTTCAACTCAATGGCAGTGAGTTTGGTTTCATTCAACTTTAACAAATAAAGAACAACAGAAGAAATAAAAGCCAAAAAAAGGCAAGACATATAGAAGAAACTAGATAAATACAATCGAACAGGTTTCTTTAACAAAATACTTGTCAGAGCTTTTACTATGCATTACATAAAAGAGTTGGGTTTAGAGACTGCATTCTAACATGATCAGAGACCTTTTTCTCCACCTGGGATCTTATAAAACCACTGTAAGAAAATATAATTTGGGAGTCACTAGTAACAAAAGTATATTCTTGGCATGACAGATTGCATAAGATATCAACAAAAAGAGCTCAATATTTGAGTCATTTCCAAATTATTACCTCTTCTTCTTCCTGTGCTTCTACTGCTGGTCCATTATGTGCCTCCTGGAAAAGGAGTTTCTTCATCTTTCTATACTGCAGATTGTCCAACTCTCTTACTGCATCCTTTGTCCTTTGAATGAGATCTATTAACACTGTTTCGGGGCGCTCCCGAAGAACAAACATGTGCTGGGTTAAGGGTAGAAAGTAAGTGAAGTTTAAGCCTTTTTTTATTTCCCAATTAGTCAAACTATTCTTTAATCTTAGGCATTACAGCTATTGTCGTAGATAATCATGATGATACTGTTAGCTGTCACTGAACTGGCCTTGACTAATGGCGGTCATATGTACATAAAACAAAACATTACTAAGTGCTGCACCACCCTATATTGAATGTGCTTCAGACCATTGTGACCCATAGGGTTTTGACAGGCTGCTTTTCAGAAGTCGGTCACCAGTTCTTAGCCTGGAGGCTTCACTAAAACCTGTTCCATCTCCACTGACAAGTGGAGGCTATGAATAAAATGTATTGACCAGGAATGAACTCGAGTCTCTACAGTGAAAGTGAGAATTCTACCACTGAGATACAATGACCCCATAATAACCAGAAAGATAATTAATATAATCTAAAGCTACTGTTTTACAGACTTCTTATATTTTTCAAAATTGTCACTTATGTACATACACCTTGTGTTTAAAGAACCATCCTTCCCTGTACATTTTATTAAAAATTTGAGGTTCTTTCTCAAGTAAGGAGCCCTGGTTAACACTGTGCTTATGAGTTGGGCTGCGATTCGCAAGGTCTGTAGTTCAAAACAACCAGTCACTCTACAGTAGAAAGAAAGGGCTTTCCACTCCTGTAAACAGTTACAGTCTTGGAAACTCATTGGGGCAGTTCTACCCTGTCCTATCAGAGTCACGTGAGTCAGCACTGACTTAATGGCAATGCGTTTATTTATTTATTTTTCTCGTTTATGGTCAGTCCTAAGGCCCACTGGCTGATGCTGGAGCCTGCAGGAAATGCAGCCAGGACTGGAGGGAGCCCAGCAAGGGTGGAGGGCACACAGGAGGGCTGGCTTTCCCCTTATCATATACAGCTTTTGTTTAGTGAACTCATTTAAGAAAAATAATTTCCCCCCCTTGTTGGCCAGATCCCAATGCATCCTGGACACATAGCTGGAAGTTCTGCGAAACCCTCTTCAAATAAATTTTGTGTGTGTGTGTGGAGGGGGGGGGGGGGGGTTTTTTTTTTTTTTTTTTAAGGTAGGAGACTCAAGAACCAGAGTTTTGCACCTCCACAAAAGAACAGAAGCCTGGTAATCAAGCAGCCATCAAGCTCAGAAGCAACAAAGCCCACATGGAAGAAGCACACCAGCCTATGCAACCACGAGGTGTCGAAGGGATCAGGTATAAGGCATCATCAGAACAAAAAATCTTACCATAGTGAATGATGGGGGGAGTGCGGAGTGGAGATCCAAAGCCCATTAGTAGGCCACTGGAGATCCCCTTGCAGAGGGGTCTCGGGGAGGAGATGAGCCAGTCAGGGTGCGATGTAACAATGATGAGAAATACAACTTTCCTCTAGTTCCTAAAGGTTTCCTCCCCGCTCCCACTACCATGACTCGAATTCTATCTTGCAAGACTGGCTAGACCAGAGGAGGTACACTGGTACAGATAGGAACTGAAAATCCAGGGAATCCAGGGCGGATGAGCCCTATAGGACCAGTGGTGTGAGTGGCAAAACAGGGAGGGTAAAGGGGGAATGGGTAGGAAAGAGGGAACCGATTACATGGAACTGTGTGTGACCTCCTCCCTGGGGGACAGACAACCGAAAAGTGGATGAAGGGAGACGTCAGACAGGGCAAGATATGACAAAATACCCATTTATAAACTATCAAGGGATCATGCGGGAGGGGGGAGCGGGGAGGGAGGAGGAAAATGAGGACCTAATGTCGGGGGTTTAAATGGAGAGAAAATGTTTTGAGAAACGATGTACAAATGCGCTTTACACAATTGATGTGTGTATGGATTGGGATAACAGTTGTATGAGCCCCTAATAAAATGTTAAAAAAGAACAGAAAAAAAAAAAAGAACAGAAGCCCATACCAATAAAACCCTGCTATCTTTAGAGGGAGAAATCACCACAATAAACTCCCCAAAAAGCCTATTCTGTGGTGTCCTGAAAGTACACCTGAAGAACTGCCCAACCCCCAGTGCTCTGAACCCCAGTGGACAGAGGACAGAAGACAGGAAAAGGTGAGCTAACACAAGGTCTCCACATCCATCCTAATTAATGGCAAGGACACCAGCATTTCTCACCCAACATTCTCGGTGGGGACAGTGACTGAACTCTGAGGTGAGAAAATTCCCGTTTCTACACCCTAAGGTTGAGAGGGTCACAGGATTCTAAACACATAGAAGAGACTCAAACCAGCTAGAGACGGACTCTCAATGCATGGCTAGAACTCTTGGGACTGGACTATGGTTAACGCTTCCCTGGAATATTAGGGGTATGAGCCAGCCTGGGCAGTTTAGAGTTCAGTAAGCTGGGGGGCAGGCGCGGGCAGGGAGATTTAGCCAAGGAGAGTTTGAACCTCATCTTTTTGTAGACCCAGGGTTCAAAGAAGTTATTACATGCCTGTCTGTTGGCTCCTGCCCAGAGGAGAGTAATTTAAAAGGACCTCTGATATACAAAGTCAGTGAGTGGGCAGTATCTTGGATAGTCTCGTTTCTGTCCCTCAGCACTCATTGCATTTGATCATTGGCTTGCACTCCCTGAAAACTCAGAAGCCAACTCCTAAACCAGGAACTTGACATGGGCAATATTTAATTTTTTTCTGTCCTTGGCCCCTACTCATAGGCTGATACCAAATGACCTAGCCACTCTCGATTCTTCAGGATCTATCACAGATGTGTGGGAATCCTGGAGAGAAATGGAAATACAACACCACATCTCAGAGGCCGCATTAATTGCTATGCGCATGTGGAGAAACACGAGAAAACAGCTCAACTGAGCGGAATACATGAAGAAGTGGACACAGGACTGGCTCTGGAGGAGCAGAAAGCTTTAGAGCAGTGGTTCTCAACCTTCCCTATGCCGTGACCCTTTCATAAAGTTCCCCATGTTGTGGGGATCCCCTCAACTATAAAATTATTTTAAAAAAAATTTTCCCCATAAAATTATTTTCATTGCTACTTCATAACTTTAATTTTGCTGCTGTTAAGAATCGGACAACATATGTGAAAGGGTCATTTGACCTCCAAAGGGGTTGTGACACATAAGTTGAGAATCGCTGCTTTAGATCTCCCTATGAGAAAATTTAGGGGACTGATCTTTAACTGTTTTAAATGAATGGAGGAAAAATCGACAGAAACACAGAAACAAACAAACAAACCCAGAAGACAGGACTCAGAAAAGCACTACAAGACCAATCTGACAAAATAAATGAAAAAATTAGGAATAATTCAACAACTTGAAATAGAAATTTAAAAGGCAAACACTAAGATATTAGATCTGGATAGCATTTTCAAAGAACAAAACAATAGAAACAATGGATATGAGAATCTGTAATCTCTAAAGACAAATTTCTCAAGACCAAAATACAAGCAGCAAAAATGTAATACCGAAACAAAACTGAAGTAAATCTAAAACTTCTATATGATCAAAAGAAATAACTTACATTTGCTAAACATTGCACAACAGAAAGAAAACTTAACTACAGAAAACAGTTGAAAAAACAATATTAAAAGAGAATTTCCCTAATGACAGAACGAAAACAATTAAGAAGCCCAGAAAGCCACAAAAGAATTGATTCCAAAAGAAAATCACCACAACAACTCCTAGTCAATTTCTTTACAGTCACCGTTAGAGGTGAACCAATCAGAATACGCTCAGATTTTCCTATGGAAACCAGGCAGGCAAGGCGGTAATAAACTAATACATTCAAAATCGTGAAAGACAAAAAAGAGGATGAGGAAGAGAAGAAGAAGAAAAACCACCCAACTAAGAATCCTTTACACAGTAAAATTACTCTTCAAATCCCAACCAAACAAAACAACAAAACCCAGACTTGCTGATATGGCTGAGACTGGATTAATCTCAGAGACTATTGTCCTGCGATACTCTTCAAACCCTGAACCAAAATAACCCCTGAGGTCATCTACCATGTTTTCCCGAAAATAAGACCTACTTAAACAGTTTTGCCTCTCGCTGAAATATAAGGCATCCCCCCCAAAATAAAGGTTTGGATTGTTATAATGATGTTCCAGAAAATGATAACATGACTGTCATTGAATAAATGAGTAAATGTACCATAGATTGTTGAACATGGAAATAATGGTAGTAACAAGAAATTCTTGATACTGTAGGATTCACAGTTTGTCTGGCTATGCTGGTTTGTGATGACAGCTACTACTGTACCATATACAGGTAATAAATTTCCTTTTTGTTGTTGTTCCACAATAAGTGTGTACTGTATTCTTCTTCATGGAAAAATGAGACATCCCCTGAAAATAAAACCTAGCATATCTTTGGGAGCAAAAATTAATATAAGACACTGTCTTATTTTCGGGGAAACAGGGTAGTAGTTGCTAAATAACAAACTGGCTCAACAACAACAGAGCATCACCTGTAAGTGCTGTGCCCCTTAAAAACAGAACAAAACAAAACAAAAAAACCTCACACCTACATGAGACTTAATAGTTAACAATTACTTTAAAACAAGAAAAAAGTAAGCGATTCGGGAAAACTAGATTAAGAGACACAGAGCAACCGGAACAGAATAGAAATATTCACTCTTTGGGAAGAATGAAAACCACTATCAACTTGTATAGAAATTTATGAATGGGCAACCTAAACTGTTGTGTAAACCTTCACACCCAAAACACAATAACGTGTTATTAAAAAGCAAAAATTAAACTTAGCAATCAATCCAACTGAAAATTGAACTTACATGATTCAAAATAACATTCCCCTTGCTGAGCTAAAAATTCATAAGGTTGCTTTGAGATAGAAGTTACTTGAGTGAAAGAGGTTAAATTTAAAAAGCTAAATTTCAAAAAGCGGGAACGAAAACATGTCTGTTTTGAACAATTTCTTTTGCAATCTCTGTTTTCACGAACTAATAGAGCATATCCAATCTTTGGTTAAGAATAAGAAAATAGAACACTTTCTTTAGACTATAGAATATTTAAAATTTAATTTTTTTGAAAATACAGAATACAATTAAAACTGACCTTTAAAAGTTCCTCTGATGTAGGGCGATCTTGAGGGATTTTCTGGAGACAAGAATCTACAAAGTTTCGAAAATAATCAGACCTATTGTAAAGGAAAGTATCAAGTGAACATATTGCTATTTCCTTTGAAACGCATCCACAAATCAAGGCTTGTGCATATTGGTAAGAGGGAAAATGGAAACAAAGACTATGATATATTTTATAGTTCATACAAGTCAAAGAATGAAAACTGAAAACGAATGTAACCAATGATTCATCATTTTCCAGAAACTTGCACAGATAATGTGAAAACCTTGCTGCCACATATTAATGATCACAACCCTTTATGTACTGAGAAAAAATTAAGGAAGTCTAGCTACACTTTACAAACTGCATTCAAAGAAAGGTAACATTCTTCTCAATTGCTAGCCCCTTCTCTAAGCCATCTCTCCTTCGTGTGACCCTTGAATGATCAATACAGCATGTTTCAGAACAGTGCTCCAGAAAGAGATTTTTTTTTCCCCACATCTGAGTATTTGATGCCCAGAGCAACTGGGTAAGCCTTCCGTTAAATTTAAAATCAAAGTATTTTTTAAAACACAGTTAAACATCTTTAACATATTATGGTATTGACTGGAGTTCAGTAAATCAATAAAAAAAAATCAATATTTGAACAAAATAATAATTTATAAATTATCAAGGGTTCATGAGGGAGGGGGAAGTAGGGAGGGAGGGGGGAAAAGACAAGCTGATACCAAGGGCTCAAGTAGAAAGCAAATGTTTTGAGAATGATGAGGGAAATAAATGTACAAATGTGCTTGACACAATGGATGTATATGTGTGGAGCTGTATGAGCCCCCAATAAAATGATTTTTTAAAAAAATAAAAATTTGTTGCCAATATTCAAATAAATGTAAGTTCCTTGTATATCCAACAGAATAAAGGCAATTTTGAGTAAATTTATTACTTATATATTCCTAAAACTAAAGTAACTCTGGTCCAAAAGATTCATTTTATAAATCTCTGCATAAGTAGCTTAGACCTGTATAAAATCTTTAAAAAATAAAGCATCTGATTCATGTAGCTACTTGCAAATTTAAAAATATTTAAGTATGTTGAAACATAAAAATACTAGGTATATCTCAGGAATTAATTTACTTCTTCAGGTTTCTAACAATACTAAAAATCCTAGTATTGTAAAACTATGACGTTTTTGATGGAATTGATTATATCAAATCAAGAAAGCACTAGGAGAAGAAACCTTTGAGCATAATAACAAATATCATTATTACAATTAAAATGACTCCAAAGTTTTTATTTACCTAGTCATTTAATAAAATTGTATAATTTTACCTATTACCACGTGTATTAGTAATGATTTCTCAAATGAAATACAAGCTGTGGCAAGTTATACATTTTAGTTATAAAATACTAATGCTTAAATCATAGTGCTTATTATGTATTAGGGTAATATATCTTCCTAAAGTTAAAGAAATAATTAAAATATACATTTTTTGGGGGGGGTGTTAAAAAGCTGTATTTCTCCCCAGAAGAATTTACTTTAGAGGACGGCAATGAAGCTGCACCTAGGGGGAGAGAGACACGTCTTATCAGAGCACATGGGAGCAAAAGAATGGGGAGGAAGAGAGAGTGGAGCACATCCTGGCCCACCAGGTCTGGGGGATGATATTCCCCCTCCAACAGCCAATGCAGAGTGGACCATATGACTGATCCCAATGTGAGACACGACATCCCTGGCTGACCATGGCCCTATGGGGGACAACACTGGAGACTCAGTGTCGGGATTGGCCTGGTTTGACCCCATGACACCAAGGCAAAACACTAAAGGCTTGCGGCAGAGCATGGCACCCTATGGGACTTGATTGGAGGACACGCCTAGAGGCAAACAAAGTCAGACCTTGATCTATTTACAGGTTTTTCTTTCCTTTAAAAAATTTTCTTTCTTTCTTTCTTTTTTCTTTTCTGGGTCATTGTTTTCTTTTTTGTTGTCTTCGTGTTCTCTTTTGTCCCTTTGTCTTGCTATGCTTTGTTTTTAGGTGCAGATTATTAACTCTGCAGATCTATCTGATAAGAGAGGCTGGATGATCACTCTAGAGGAGAAAACAAAGGGACCGATGGTTCCGGGGAGACATGGGAGAGGGGGAGGCGGGGGAAAGGAGGTGGTGTTGACCAATCCAGGGACAGGGAAACAACAAGTGATCCAAAATTAGTAGCAAGGAAGGTGTGAGAGACCTGGTAGGGATTCAGCAAGGGCAATGTAACCGAGAGAAATTACTGAACCCAAATGAAGGCTGAGCATGATAGTGGGACAAAAGGAAAATATAAGGAAATAGATGAAAGAACTAGGAGGCAAAGGGCATTTATAAAGGTCTGAATACAGGCATGTACATATGTAAATATATTTATATAGGATGATGGGGAAATAGATATACATGCATATATGTATATATTTATAGGCTTAGTATTAAGGCAACCGATGGGACATTGGACCTCCACTCAAATAGTTACTCAATGCAAGAACACTTTGTTCTATTAAATTGGCATTCCATGATGCACACCTTCCTTACTCGATCGCTGAAGACAAATGTGTGCATAAGCAAATGTGGTGAATAAAGGTGATGGTGCACAGCTATCAAAAGATATAGCGTCTAATGTCTTAAAACCTTACAGGTAGACAAGCGGCCACCTAGCTCAGAAGCAACAAAGCCCACATGGAAGAACCACACCAGCCAGAGACACCACGAGGTGTAGAAGGGACCAGGTGTCAGGCGTCAAAGAACAAAAAAAAATCATATCAGCGGGTGTCCACCTTCCCGATATGATCACTAAAGACAAATGTGTGCATAAGCAAATATGGTGAAGAAAGCTGATGGTGCCCCGCAATCAAAAGAAAGAGCGTCTGGGCTCTTAAAGGCTTGGAGATAAACAAGCAGCCACTAGTTGAGAAGCAACAAAGCCCACATGGAAGAAGCACACCAGCCTGTGTGACCACAGGTGTTGAAGGGATCAACTATCAGGCATCAAAGAACAAAAAATGATATTGTGAATGAGGGTGAGTACAGAGTGGAGACCCAAAGCCCATCTGTAGGCAACTAGACACCCCTTTACAGAAGGGTCGCAGGGAAGAGATGAGCTGGTCAGGGTTCATGGTAGCAACAATGAAACATACAGCTTTCCTCTAGTTCCTAAATGCTTCCCCACCACCACCACTATCATGATCCCAATTCTACCTTACAAATCTAGCTAGACCAGAGGATGTACACTGATAAAGATAGGAACTGGAAACACAGGGAATCCAGGGTGGATAATCCCTTTAGGACCAGTGGTGAGAGTGGTGATATGGGGAGGGTGGAGAGAAGGTGGGGTAGAAAGTGGGAACAGATTACAAGGATCTACACATAACCTCCTCTGTGGGGGATGGACAACAGAAAAGTTGGTGAAGGGTCGGACAGTGTAAGAGATGACAAAATAATAATAATTTTAAAATTATCAAGGGTTCATGAGGGAGGGGGGAGCAAAGGAAGGAGGGTAAAAATGAGGAGCTGATATCAAGGGCTCAAGTAGAAAGCAAATGTTTTGAGAATGATGATGGCAACAAATGTACAAATGTGCCTGATATAATGGATAATGTATGTATGTATGTATGGATTGTGATAAGAGTTGTACGAGCCCTTGATAAAATGATTTCTAAGTCAAGTAACATACAATGGTTGTAAAAAAGTATTGCTACTAGAGTTCTAGTTCATATATGCATAGGTTTATTCCAAACAAAACATGTTTAAACATGTCTCTGCAATCAGTGGATGGCTGTCGTCACTTGTCTTGGTCTCAGTAAGGTGTGTTTAAAAAGGTTCAATCAAAAACTGGTTTCCCAGAAGATGTGAGAGGCCATTCACATTTATCAGCACAGTAGATTATGGTGACTGTTCTTTGGTGCTACAAAGGAGTAATTTTGGTAGATTTTCTTATAGGACACAGAATTATCATGAGGGCTTGTGTTGAAGAAGTTTTAAGAACAATGAAAACCACACTAGTGAGGAAAAGGCAGGGAAATTACAGTAAGGACTTTCCCACCACAACAATGCACTTGCTCCTTCCTTGAGGGTAGTTAGGGCTGTACTGCGAATTTCATTGGGAAATCATGCCCAATGCACTCTACCATCCTGATCCTGGCCCTTCAGATTTCTTTTTGTTCCCCAAACTCAAAAGAACATTGAAAATAGACATGACTTGTCCTGATAGGTTTGACATGCTGGAATAAAAAGCTTCTTAGGGAAAGGGTTATGGAGATGGAAAAACCGCCTTCAGGAAATGTTCAGACCAATGTAAAAGATAGGCCTCTCTCTCTCTACACATACACACACAGGCGTGCACACACACGTATACATGCGTGTATGTGTATGTACATACATAGATATGGGTTTATATGTGTACATACTATTAAACATATATATGATATAGAATAACCTGATACAAGAAAGGGTAAAATAAGCTTATTTTAATAATCTCTTCAGGCACACATTTACTTAAGCAAATAAATTCATTTTGTAATAGAGCATGAACAAGCATTTCATTTATATAAAGTTGAGTAAGTTCTCTCTTATGATACTCACCATTCATTAGACTGTAGTGTAGGGGATTCATTCTGGGCTATGTGATATAAGGCACTCATTGCATTCATATTAAATAAAGGAGGTTTCCTTTCCGCTGCAAAAACAAGCAAGCACTGTAGTTAGAATACATGCCTAGGG